GATTTGGTCTTTTCGTGGTACATAGCGCCAAAATACTCTTAATTATTTTCTTTCATGTCATTACTAATCTCAAATAAGGTCAAAAGTTGTACAACGTTTAACATATATGATTATGACATGTTGTATCCAAACATTTCCAAACAAATCCAAACAAATCCAAACAAATCCAAGCTTGGAAATATGACTTTGCCAAATATTGGAATGGTCATATTTCCAATTGGAATGGTGGTATTTCCAAGTTTTGGATTTTTTGGAATGGATGATATTTTGTCCAGTGAGAGGTCCCGATGCAGCGGGAAAGTTCCTAGAATATCTACAAAATGAAGAGAGAATAATCAGTGAAAATTTAACGCGTAAGAAACCAATGTGTATGACGAGGGATGATTGGAGGGCCTATAAGAAGTCAACGAGTTGTCATGTTTGTAATAAACCCCTGAATGGGGATTCCGTAAGAGATCATTGCCATGTCATGGGTAATTATCGGGGAGCCGAGCATAACGAGTGTAACTTGAAACTAAATATGAATTCTCAAACAATACCCATCCCTGTTGTGTTTCATAACCTTAGAGGATACGATTCCCATCTCATTATGCAAGCTATCTCAAAGATCGACGGCGGCTTAACGTGTATTCCTAATGATATGGAAAAATATATATCGTTCTCATTGACTAAAACTATACATTATACGGACAAGGATGGGAAAGCCAGAATAAAGCAAAGTAATGGACTTAGATTCATAGACTCCGTACAGTTTCTGTTATCTTCCCTGGACAATTTAGCTAATGCGAACAATCCTGATGACTTTGCAATAACAAATCAATATACCGATCGGTGCCGTCATTTGTTGCTGAGAAAAGGTGTATATCCTTACGAATATATGGATGATTGGTCTAGATTCGACGAAACTAAATTACCACCCCTTGAATCATTCTACAGTAACTTAACTTAATCTAAAATGACAGATGCCGATTATGAACACGCTCTGACGGTCTGGGATAAATTAGGTTGTAAGAATTTAGGTGATTATCACGATCTGTACTTAAAAACCGATGTACTGTTACTCGCCGATCTATTCGAGATATTTAGAAAGACATGTTTACAATACGGCTTGGACCCGGCATGGTACTATTCCAGTCCCGGACTATCGTGGGATGCATTGTTGAAGAAGACCGGTGTAGAACTAAAACTACTCACAGATTACGATATGCACTTGTTTATTGAGAAATGATTAAGAGGTAATATATCGATCGTAGCGAAAAAGGTATCCTAAGGCTAATAATAAATTAGTGGAAGGATATGATCTGAGTAAACCCGACACGCACATATTATATCTCAACGCCAACAATTCGTACGGATGGGCTATGAGTCAACCTTTACCCAAGGGTGGTTTTGAGTGGTTCGATGATATCGAAACGAATGATATCTATAATATCAATGTGAATAAAGGGTACATACTAGAAGTTGACTTGGAATATCTAAAATCGTTAGTTACATAAAGATCATAACAGTTATCCGCTAGCTCCCGAAAGATTAATGGTGAATAAAGATTGGATGTCGGAATATCAACACTCCTTGATGGGTAGTACAAACTCGTACCAAATTTGATGGCTAAGACAAAATATATAGTTCACTACAGAAATCTCCAGTTATATCTATCGTTAGGTTTGAAACTAAAGAAAATACACAGAGTTCTAAAGTTTGATCAAAGCCCTTGGATGGAGCCCTATATAAGGCTGAACACAGATTTAAGAAAGATAGCCACCAGCGATTTTGAAAAGAATCTATATAAGCTCATGAATAACTCAGTATTTGGTAAAACCAATGGAGAATCTAAGGAAGTGTGTTGATGTTAAATTAGTCAGAATTAATGAGGAAGAAAGACTCAGGAAACTTATAGCCAGTCTGGCTTTTAACAGAAGCAAGATATTCGATAACGACTTAGCGGCGTTGCATATGCAGAAGAGTAATATAAAATTCAACAGACCGCTGTACGTTGGTATGAATATTCTTGACTTGTCAAAACACTAAATGTATGACTTTTATTACAATGAACTTAAGAAGCAATACGGCGATAGATGCGAGGTGTTATATACCGATACAGATTCTTTGTTGATGGAAATAGAAAACCGAGGAAGTGTATAAAGAAATGGCAGAAAAAATAGATATGTACAACACGAGCGATTACCCTAAAGATAATCCACTGCACAGCATAGTAAATAAAAAGGTGTTAGGTAAGATGAAGGATGAATGTGCTGGGACCCCTATAGCGGAGTATGTCGGATTAAGACCTAAGATGTATTCTATAAAGAAGTCCGATAATGGAGAGATAAGAAAAGCTAAGGGTGTTAAGAAGTATGTGGTAAAAAAGCATATCAAACACGAACAGTATAAAGAAGCATTATTCAAGGGTAGAACATTCAAACACAAGATGAACTCTTTAAGAAGTTACAATCATAGGATATATGGATTAAGAATGAACAAGACATCATTATCCCCCTTAGATTCAAAGAGATGGATTGATAATGATGGTGTAACTACCTATGCTTATGATTATGGTGGTAATACTGTATTGTTGGGAACTATGAGCAGCTCTTCTCGTACAAATGCCCTGCCCGGTCCATCTTTAAGATAATAAAGAATAGGCTCTCCTTCTTTCAAAACCAAACGACTAATGTTATATGTCTTAAGAGACCAAATCGGATCGGTTGCGCGACGTAGGCCTCCTTCGAGTTCACCGGGTTGGTATAAATATCTTACACTTACTCTATCCGGAAGTTTTTGTTCTTTGCCTCTCCTCGGTGCTGAATATTAGGAAGTCACGGATTTCATTTTAATCGCATCGGATGGTTTCTTCCCGATTAATCTTGTTACTTCACTATTCAGCGCTGATACAACAGCTGATAAACGTGTCACCCATTCGGTTGATCTCAATCGCTCCGATTTCATTTTGATCCCATACTGATAGCCAAACAAACGTTCCGCTAATATCCGGTTAAATCTTTCAACGATAGCTTGACTACGGTGGGCCTCTTTTTCACCATGCCTGATTTTGACAGTTTAGTTATTGATCCCATAAACTCACGACCAGGATCTACTTGAAATAGCTTAGGCCATTTTAGTGGTCCACGTTTATATATGCGACTCAGTGCATTAGCTACTTCTGTTGAATCTTTCGAGGTTAATGGCTCAGCCTCTTTGTATCGACTAGCCACACCCACTACGGTTAAAGCGTATTTATATGTTTTGTGTCTTATCTTATCATGGGGAAGAAACAAGAGATCAGCCTGATGAACTTCATTTGTTGTAAAAATATCAAACTTCTTTTTTCGGTATATAACGAGGTGCCGGTAAGTATATTTGCCACATCGCTTGTTTCTTTAACCAATCCTTGGCCACATCTTTAGATACCTTAGCTGCGGTGGCTAATTTTTTTAATGCTCCTATACCTTTCCAATATCCTCCTGGTCTCTAGTAAATTTTATCAATTATTAATTAATATTGATGTTTCTTTTAATACGACTCATGACGATCGTTGAATCGCATCATCATTTTTGCATAAAAAAAATCCCTCTATAGTGGTGGTATAGGTATATAAATCTGGCTCCAGTTGAAGTGAGCCAGAATCACCATTACCTATACTACTGGAAGTGATAGGACGAGCAAGGGAGAGAGGGGGTGATATGGTGAGCAAGGGAGAGAGGGGGTGATATGGTGAGCAAGGGAGAGAGGGGGTGATATGGTGAGCAAGGGAGAGAGGGGGTACTAGGATGGGCAAGAGAGCGGGAGAGGAAGTTACTTTGAATAATCAGCTTACCATGGCGTGCCTGCTTGATGTGGAAGTACTCTCGAAATGATACAGATCTAAGACTTTTAGCAATTAAGTGGAACTCACGGGTTAGATGTTGACAAACCTTGAATATTGTTCAGGGCAAAATACCAACTGTACACAGCGAGTTAATACCCTCAAACAACTGGATCTACATTGTGTTTAGGCGACTATTCACGTCCTAGTTTTGATAACGTTTGTGATTATTTTATCAAATCAAGGTGCTGAGTGTTTCTCGTTTAATAAGGCTATGCAAAGCGATCCATAGGGCGAAAAAAAGGTATTTCACAACTCTTTCTAACCACGACACAGGATCGTTGTTTTCACAAGTCTCGTCATCAGAGAGATCTTCATGAAGCCTGCTTCTAATACTGAGGTATCGTCGTGCAGTTCCCTGGCTCTTTCAGGCAGTGGGCATGGAGGCCGTAGACATTTGACTTGTGTGGCCTTTGTCCTGTGACCAAGGGAGCAAATAACTTGATGGACATTTCCTGGCAATTCCTAGCTAGGGTGTTCAGATTAGATGCATTAATCTGAGTTTCAGTACACATCTACACTTGTAGGTCAGGTCTCATGTAATCAGTAGCAAGAAATAGTTCTTCCTGCAGTGACATTGTACAGTCAGTTGTATATCAACTGTAGTGTAGCACATTTGTGTGTCTTTATAGCGAATATGTTTTGTCATTAGCACATAACATGCATACCAACTGATAAGACTCTGCTGCGACGTTCACAGGCCAGAAGATACATAAAACCCTTCTTGTCAGCTTGAACCCAGTGTAATTTTAGATGTTATGATGTTGAGGGTGACTCTCCTGCTGCTGGCAGTGACTGCCGCCCTGGCGTGCATGAATGTGCTGTTTTTGGTGTCAGAAGACATGAGGCCTGAACTCTGTTTAATATGGAAAAGACTTCCCGAGTCCTGTCCATCCTCCGATACATTCACCCAACCTTGACGCCCTGGCACAAAGGAGTCTTCTGTTAAAGAGAGCCCATGTTCAGCAGGCTGTGTGTTCCCCAAGCAGATCATCTCTCCTCACAGTGTATGATTTGCAGGTTTACTGGAGAGTTGTGGGAGGGAACTTCACCACCATCCCTCAGTACTTTAAGGAGAACGGCTACAGAACCATTGGTTCCGGTAAGATATTTCACCCCGGACATGCCTCCAATTACAATGACCCCATATCCTGGACAGACCCATATTTTGAGTCCGGAAAAGAAGAACAACTCACTTCGAGACACCCAGAATGCTGACTTTGCAATTAGAGAGGCTGCCCCTCAAGCAAGATCTGGAGAACGTCCTTTCTTCATCGCCCAAGGACTCCATAAGCCCCATCTTCCCTTTGTGGCAACAATGAGGTTCTTTGACATGTACCCCGAGTCGTCTATCAGTCCCCCAGCTAACCCATATGCTCCTGATAAGATGCCAGAAATTGCATGGTATATTTATACAGAGCTCGGAAAATACGATGACATTGAGAAATTACATGTTTCTGGAGACATTAACTCCACCCTCCCTAACGATGTTATTCTCAGCATGAGAAGAGCCTACTACAGTGCCCTCAGCTACACCGACTACGAGCTGGGACGAGTGGTCAAGGAACTGGAGAACCAAGGACTAGCCAACAACACAATCATCTCCTTCTGGGGCGATCACGGCTGGCAGCTTGGTGAACACGGTGAGTGGTGCAAACACACAGACTTTGAAATCTCCACCCACGCCCCTATGATGGTACATGTGCCGGGTCTCACTGACAATGGCATCGTGACGGAAGAACTCACTGAGTTTGTGGATATGTTTTCAACTCTAGTAGAAGCTGCAGGTCTTCCTGCGCTTGTCCTGTGCCCAGAAAACTCTTCCAACGTTCTAGTCTGTTCCGAAGGCAACAGCTTGGTTCCTCTGATGAAAGATCCAGCAAGTCCTAACTGGAAGAAAACAGTCTTCTCACAGTACCCAAGGACCACAGCTAAATACAGATACACCGAGTGGGTGAAGTTCGACATGAAACCTCTCTATAAGCCGGACTGGAACAAGGTTTATTGTGTTGAGCTGTACGATCATATTAAGGACCCTGAGGAAAACTATAACCTGGCTTATAATTCTGCTGAAAAGAAACTTGTATCTGAACTACGGAAAGAGCTGCATGCTGGATGGAGGGCTGCCAGACCAAGGACATGATAGTATTGGGTGAAATATTTATTGATTAAGAGTTTCCATCTTTAAAGACCTTGGTTTCACCACGAACCCAAATTTTATTTAAAGTATTTTTACTTCCCGACAGGTGTTTAACTTTTTCTATAATGACCAAATACCATTTTGAATAAACTGCCGTGCAAAAAAAAGTATTCACCCATGTTTTATGGTGGCTAAAAATGAACCAAACAAGAAATGGTTATTCGATGGTGATGTTTTTGATACGGGGACTTTACGTTGGTAATGGTTCGGCGACTGTTCTAAGCCGAGTAAGGTTTTGATAACGTTTGGTCTTTTCTGAGACGTCCCCTTACATCGTTTGAGGTACAATCGAGTATCGTTCTAAGGATTAATCGATTGTATTACAGCGTTGTTTGATCAGGGTTACATCATAAGAGTTCAATGAGTGAGTGAGTGAGTATCCATTTGGGGAATCGAATCCGGGTCTTCGGCATGCCGAGTGAACACTTTAACCACTAGGATATCCCACCGCCTCCGGGCAAATATTGTGAACATCCTTCGTTCATTTAGACGGCTCAAACGACAAGCATGGCTTGGGACCAACACGGACCTGGAATGCCCGCAGTGAGTGGATGTAATACAGGTCTCATTCGTCACAATGTGGTTGTCAATCCGAAAGGGTGCGAAAAGCTGCAGCATTGCTGATGCAGCCTTAAATAATGACATCCCACGTCTTGCATGGCACATTGTTGTACCGAGTGTTCTAAGAGGGGTTTAAAACTCAATCACTCGTTCACTGTATTGGCACTATAAAACTGGATAAAGTCCGGACGAGTACAAGCACGTCGCTATGTAAGTGCAATGATCTTGAATGCGACGCTTAACCCCATTTAATCTCGACTGGACGCATTTTCATTTCAAACGATGTACATTATTATTTTATTATCATTGAAGAGATTTGCGTCATACGACTCTTGTTCATAAGCTGTTTGATCAAGGTTTCAATATTCAAGGCCTCAGTAAAGCACTCAAATGGTTTTATTGTATACACGTGGATGACATTTCCAAATTTGACTCATCTCATCATTATTCCCCTTTTGACCGTATGTTCCCATGTATTTTCTTCCCGTGTATTTTCTTCCCGTGAATAATTGACTTGGGTTTGCATGTGTTTGTGATGGGTGCCACCAACGGGGCAGGATACGCTCACCTTTTCGCGAACACTTGGTATCATCACAATTTGAAGTGATACATAAACACATACTCATGGTATAGTCGGGGGCGTTCATTTGAACACTTTTTAGTTACTGATTCTCGCGCGTGTCGGGTAAATATGGTAGGTATGCACAAAACAGCATAAAGGACAAAGGCGTTTCAACTAGAATGAAACTAGGGAGCAAATGTAAGTGTCTGACAGTGTCTGACAGGAGATTCGAATAATAAATTCTGGTTCGCCTAACGTACTGTAGCTTCAAAGATAGGTGCTGACAGACAAAGTCAGAGAATCCTGGACAAGCTAAGGGACGCAACACTGCACATTGACTTGCTCCTACACCACCATAAGCTATCTGTGCCCTCTCGCCATACTGTAACAAATAGCAATTTCATTTGCCCGAGACTCGATATTCCAAACAAGATATTTTTTATACACGAAACGTTAACGCAAGAGAAAAAAAACCAGTATAGATTATCTGATGAAAAAGACTCCATTGGGCGCAAAAGGCCACAAAGTGGCGAAAATTATATGAATGGATCACTGAAAATCAGTGATGACACCAGGTGTCCACGAAAAAAGAAAGCATGTCCTTCCCTACCGGTAACACCCACAATAATTTTAATAAAAAAAGTACGTGCATACAGAAATCTATAGAAAAACTGGATTGTCGGGATAGCTTTAATATAACCGAGAGTGGCGTTGAATAACAAACAATTGATTTATAACACACATCACCAGGTAGTCAGATTGAAGCATTGGTGGATATACCATCTTTTTGTTGCCCTTCCTACTTGGGTCTAGCTGCCCTCCAGCCACCATGTAGTTGTTTGCTGAGTCGAGCCACTAGGGCGCTGTAGGCGGAATCATAAGCCAGGTTCTTGTTTTCTTGAGGATCCTGATAATGGTCATACAGTTCCACACCGAACACTTTGGTCCAGTCTGGCCTGTACAGGGGTTGTGGGTTGAATTTGACCCACTCTGTGTATCTGTAGTGATCGGTGGTCAGCTGTAACCCATTTGATCACCGTTGCTTTCATTCCTAGGGTACTGGGAGAACACAGCCTTCTTTCAGTTGGGACTTGCTGGGTTTGTTATTAGAGGTATCAAACTTTTGCCTTCGGTGCAAAGAAGGGCATTGGTAGAGTTTTCTGGACACAGGTCAAGCGCAGGAAGACCTGCAGCTTCTACTAGAGTTGGAAACATATCCACAAACTCGGTGAGGTCTTCCGTCATGATACCGTTGTCAGTGAGACCCGGCACATGTACCATCATAGGGGCGTGGGTGGCGATTTCAAAGTCCGTATGTTTGCACCACTCACCGTGTTCACCAAGCTGCCAGCTGTGATCGCCCCAGAAGATGCATAGTATTTTGTGTCACTAAAAGGTAGTGAATTTTATTAGGTTAATTCATTTATAATGTCATTATTATTATTTGCATTTATGCACCATTCGATCAAAATAGTTATTATTTTATATTTATTTGTATTTCAGTCAATCTGAAAATAACTAGATTCTAGTTAAGAAAAGAAAGACATTTATCTAAAAGGATAAGAAAAGAATGTAAAGAAAAGAAAGAATGCAAAACAGGAAAGAATAAAGAAATCAAAACTAGAAAGAAAGACTTCAAGTTATTACAGAGTTTGATGAACTGTAAAAGACCCCCAAGATGTTGATGCAATTGATACTGTGTATTCAATTCACTTGTTGTCTATCATGGAAAATGTCAAATGCATACAGTCATAAATGGCTGTCAGTGTATATGACTGGGGGTACCAAGAGTAAGTTTTAGTGACATAGGCTGTGGCCACTAAGTTGGTAGAAACATCAGCGAACACTAAGGTGGCATTGGGGCGACGTCATCAATACCGCGGATGACCTGCCCTGGTAAGGATGCACGCCTCAAAGCACAGTCTCATGGAAGACGTCAAACGTCTGATGTTGCCAGACATCCTGAAAGGTCCTGTAAGTTGTTTGGATGGTTGGGTCGTCTCCTTAGCTCCCTACCCAGATGATCCCACAATTGCAAGTGCTCGACGCAGGACGTGTATGGGGAATGTAAAGAAAGTCCTGCGTGAACCGGGATGTGTGTGGTCGGGCATTGTCCTTGTGCAGCAGGATCCCTCTTGGTTGTTGCTGCAGAAATGGCACCGCTACTCGTCTCAGGACTTCGTCAGCGTACTGTTGTGCATTGAGGTTGTCATGGATAACAGCGAGCGGTGTCTTCTGGTCGTCACAGCCCCCTACACCATGAGACCATGAGACCACGACCTCCATGGGCACGGACATCTTGTACACAACCAGGAGCCATTCTTTTCCCCCTACGGCGATACATACGGACCCTCCCGTCTGCATTGAATAGGTTGAACCTGCTCTTATCGGTGAACAAGACCCGTTGCCATTTGCGCTGTTGCCAAAGTGGTACACGTCGTACACGCCGAGCCCACCGTTGTTTGTCTTGGGGATGTTGTGGACAACACACCATCCCATGGAGTGATCTGTATGCCCTGATGCCAACAGCATGCAGTCATCTTCTCACTGTGTGGCGGATGACACGGTGACCCAACGCCGTTGCTGTCGATTCCATGACTGTCAGGAAAGGTTGCGTAGATGCAAGGTTCGCAGATATCTATTTTCTGATGGGGTGAACTGCCGCTGGAATATTGCTGAGTGCGGCGTTAAACAACTAACGATCAAACAATCTAATTGAGTGGTTACACGTGGTCTGCCATTCCAAGGCCTGTCGGTGGTGTCGAGTCCCCACCATGACCATACCAATGGCCCTCTCTCTCTTTTCTGCATTGGAACGTGGCATTGTTCGGTAAGTTTTTGGTTCATGTGATTGTGAATTTTATACATGTACCTGCACAGATGCAGCACCGAAAAACCTGTTTACAGTAATTTTTGTCACAGCACGTGCATCGACACCTGCATGGTCTTGGTTCTTCGGAAACGAGTGTGCTGCGTTTAGGGCAATTGTTTGTAGCATGTTACAAAGATTTGAACGCATGCATTGTTTATATTATTCAAAATGTTAAAATGTAAATTTTCTTTTGATCTTCAGTTTATGTATAAACTTGGAATTTTTGAATTGGTTAAGAGAGCAATCTCATTAAAATCAGATCGAAGTTCTCGCTGCCGCTAATAAAAAATGCAGCTCTTTCCGTAGTTCAGATACAAGTTTCTTTTCAGCAGAATTATAAGCCAGGTTATAGTTTTCCTCAGGGTCCTTAATATGATCGTACAGCTCAACACAATAAACCTTGTTCCAATCCGGCTTATAGAGAGGTTTCATGTCGAACTTCACCCACTCGGTGTATCTGTATTTAGCTGTGGTCATGCTATAGCCCATCTGGTGACCGTTATCGGCAGACCTTGGGTACTGTGAGAAGACTGTTTTCTTCCAGTTAGGACTTGCTGGATCTTTCATCAGAGGAACCAAGCTGTTGCCTTCGGAACAGACTAGAACGTTGGTAGAGTTTTCTGGACACAGGTCAAGAACAGGAAGACCTGCAGCTTCTACTAGAGTTGGAAACATATCCACAAACTCAGTGAGTTCTTCCGTCACGATGCCGTTGTCAATGAGACCCAGCACATGTACCATCATAGGGGCGTGGGTGGAGGAAAAGAGGAAGGGGAAAAACCAGGGGGCGAGGGAAGAGAGATCCAGGGGAAGAGGATGGGAGAGATCCAGGGGAAGAGGGAGGGAGAGAACCAGGGGGCGAGGGAAGAGAGATCAAGAGGAAGAGGGAGGGAGAGAACTAGTGGGCGAGGGAAGAGAGATCCAGGGGGCGAAGGAGGGAGAGATCCAGGGGAAGAGGGAGGCAGAGATCCAGGGGAAGAGGGAAGGAGAGATTCAGGGAAAGAGGGAGGGAGAGATCTAGGGGTACAAGGAGGGAGAGATCCAGGGCAAGAGGGAGGGAGACATCCAGGGTGCGAGGCAGGGTGAGATCCAGGGGAAGAGGGAGGGAGAGATCCAGGGTGCGAGGCAGGGTGAGATCCAGGGGGCGAGGGTAGGACAGATCCAGGGGGCGAGGGAAGGACAGATCCAGGGTGCGAGGCAGGGTGAGATTCAGGTGGCGAGGGAGGAGAGATCCAGGGAAAGAGGGAGGAGGGATCCAGGGGAAGAGGGAAGGAGAGATCCAGGGGAAGAAGGAAGGGAGGGAGAGATCCAGGGTGCGAGGCAGGGTGAGATCCAGGGGGCAAGGGTAGGACAGATCCAGGGTGCAATGGAGGAGAGATCCAGGTGGCGAGAGAGGAGAGATCCAGGGGGCGAGGGAGGAGAGATCCAGGTGGCGAGAGAGGAGAGATCCAGGGGAAGAGGGAGGAGGGATCCAGGGGAAGAGGGAAGGAGAGATCCAGGGGGCGAGGCAGGGTGAGATCCAGGTGAAGAGGGAGGAAGAGATCCAGGGGCGAGGGAGGGAAAGATCCAGGGAAAGAGGGAGAGATCCAAGGGGCGAGGGAAGGAGAGATCCAGGGGAAGAGGGAAGGCCAGATCCAGGGGGCGAGGGAGGAGAGATCCAGGGGAACAGGGAAGGAAGGAGAGATCCAGGGGGCGAGGGGCGTTAGATCCAGGGGTCAAAGGAGGGAGAGGTCCAGGAGAAGAGGGAGGAAAGATCCAGGGGTCAAAGGAGGGAGAGATCAAGGAAAAGAGGGAGGGAGAGATCCAGGGGGCGGGGGAGGACGCTAACAAAACAGTATCATCTTGAAATAGGAATGCGAACAAAACAACGTAGAGATATTACAGACCATTAAGTGACTAAGATTGAATAAAACACTTGGGCAGTTTTGAGAAAATAAAAAAATGTTCCAGATCATTTAGAAACAACGAAAACAACATTGGAGACAAATTTTCTCATTGGCGGAGAGCAATAAGACAAGGGGGTTGTTCTGAATATGAACCTTTTGTACACACATATGATTTAATGCACTCGTACCTATTGACAATAATACGAATAACTTTCCCATCAATATCTTGTGCTAATATTATTTTCCATAAACCTATACGGCAATCATTGTCAAAAGCATTTTTAAAATCAACGAAACCATAAAACATTTCTTTCTTTCTATTTTTTAGTAAAAATGTAAAAATATGATCATTTGAAGAGTAGCCATGTCTTAAACCCGCTTTTGATTCTGACAGAATGGTATTACTTTCAGCATAATCATTTAATCTTTTATTAAGAACTGAGGGGGACGGGTGGCCCAGTCGTTTAAGGCGCCGCGATTCGCTTTGCAGAGTTGCGTCCCTTGGGCACGCCAGAAACCTATGATTGTGAGTTCGAATCCCGGTTCGCCCCGGTTATGTTTCTCGGTTTGTCAGGACCATAGCCGTGCTCGTGAGTTTCACCGAAGTGGAAAAGACTTCGGGCTTTCCTTCCACATGAAGCTGACACGCAGTGATATAACTGGAATACTATTAAAAGCGGTGTTAAACCCAACTCACTATTAAGAACTGAGGTAAACAATAAGATTTAGGGGCCGGAAGTTTCCAGTGTCATCAGTACTGGAAGTGTCAACGGACGGATAATTCCGTTTAACCATTGTTCGGGTAACACCCCTGTAGCAAATATTTGATTACATAGTCTGGTTATACAAGGGTAAAAATGTTGGCACTACTGATTTTATATATTCATTGCCTTGTTATTCTTTAGTAGTTTAATGGCGCATTCAATTTCTTGTTCGCTTAAATCAGTGTTAGAAAATATCGTTACAAATATTGACGTCAAAATTAACATTAAGATCAGTCAAATCATCAGGGATAGAGTCTACGTTATCTGCATTTTTTTTTTTTTTTTATAACAGTCAAAAAGTTTATCGATGGGTGGCAAATTTGCGTGATTATCTTTCTGATGAAGCATTTTCCAAAATGAGCGGGTGTCATTTATATGTAAATTAGAAATATTGTTTTGCATTTTGAAGTGATAACTGTTTTTTTTATGACGTCAACTACTGTTTAATAGTTACGTTTTGTTTTGCAAATTTTTATGTTTATTAAAATCCCGTTTTGCCTGGTGATACCATCCCCTACTGATCTTAATTTATACAGTGGCATCCGAACCAGGTTTTAAATCTATTACATCCGGGTGTACGCCGGCGGATACCATGATTGACACGCGCCAGGCCAAATGCTGATTATTCTGTGAGTAGGATAATGTTGTTAATATTATGTACAATAAGGTTTACATAGTAATTACAAATATCACCAGGCACCAAGGAATCACTGTGAGGCATCATACAAGAAATGTCACTGTTTTTAATTGATTGTAAAAAATCGTCAGCGTGCCTCTTATCCCAGCGTCTCGGGATGCACGGGGAGTCACTGTTTTCAATTTCATAGTCTGACTGACAGATGTCTGTTGTTGAATGGGTTTGACCTGTGATATTGTTTACATTTGTTGATTCACATTTTAAAAGCAGTAGTATAGGTAATGATGGTTCTGGACCACTTCCACTGGAGCCAGATTCATATACCTATACTGCTATTACAGGGGAATTTTTATGCCAAAATGATTATGCGATTCAACGATAGTCATGATATTAAGTTAAATTGGCTCTAGCTCACCAATACCTGGGGCCAATCATTGCTTTAGATGAGTCTAAATGGTAATAAAAATATTCTTTATTATTTTTATCAATAAAGCGATATTCAAGTTCTTCGTCTTTCTCGTCTTCGCTAATACCACTGGTCTTATGAGATTTTGATTGAATCTCCTGCTTCATTGCGTTGTATTTGGTGAGTTCCGACAGCACTAAACGAAACTCATCCTCGGATATCTTACAATCGACTATTGCTGTTGAAATATGATCCTCAATGCTGTTCAACTTTGCTTCGGCGAGTATCCAAATACTATCGTGTTTTAATGCTTTCTTTTGTAACCTACGAGAAATGAATTTTATCGCTATTCCTGCCAGTCCCAAGACTCCAGCGGCTATTTCCATGCCGAGCACGATAGGCGCGGCGATTTTAGTTACACCGATTCGCATGCCAGCTGCTACAAGCGCGGTGTCAACTCCGTCCAGAGCATTCATGGCTCTGCGATACTTTTTATACAATCCAAGTCTCAACTCCCTATCCTTCTCTATTCGATGTTTTATGTCGCTTATTTGATGTAATCGAAATCCATCAACAGGTTCCATCTTTTCAATTGCTTCATCGAGCGCTGGATATAAACCCATAGTCTATATTACGATCATATAATAGTCTTTAATTGGTCTTGCTTAAATGTTTTGAGAGTATACATCAACCTTATTAAATGTATATTAAACGGCAAGAATATCTTAGTAAGAGAAATACTACCACTTTTAATAATTTGGACCCCCTCGAGGGTTGCAATGGGCGATGCTCCGATATGAATAATACTGCAACGTTGACGCTCATGTTTCTTGAGCCATTTAATTGATAGACCTGGAAATATTTCGAAGGCATCTACCGGTACGTCTCCGAACAAGACTTCAATAATAAGCGTAGAAATATTAGGTATTGCACTCAGGTTAACTTTAATATCATCGAATTCAGTAACCAAATTTAAACTAACATTTTTAACTGCCGGACGACTATATAACATATGACCTGGGTCTTCTGGCAGAAAAGTGACGAACACACTTTTTCGTTTTGATGGGATATAAGCCGCGAGTACGATGCCACTATTTATTATCTTAGTTAAATTATGTCCCTTACCCATCATCACATAAGGTGGGGTAATGACGATATTCAGTAGGCACTCGATGTTTGCGTCGACCATAGTCCATTTATTATCGTCGTTGCGAGTAATACTATACGAAGTGTTTTTAATGAGTCTCCTAACATCGACATCGCTTAAATCTTCTAGATTACCTGTGAATGTAACTTCTTTCCGCTTGTATACATTATCGTGTAAGTGTAAAGTGTATAACTTACCATTGGTACCGGGTTTATCGAATCCTTCTGTGTCTCCGAGATCGGAAAGCGCAATTGTATTACATTGTCTGAGTTCCAGGGCCTGATGAATCAACCATTATTTATAATATGGAGTGTTACACTTAAGTATCCTATATGTACAGGTTGGTGTTTTACATCTAATACAGAAATTTTGAGGTCTGAAATAATACCCCGCTTTAATTTTTTATATTTTAATGTTGAGAAAGATTCTGTTCTACCGCTATTATATTTTTCGTTTTTCACTGGAACACTTCTGAGCAGAGTTGAAGGACTTTCGAGTTGAATATTATCCGTCGTGCTTATTTGATCAAGATGGATGCACAACTCTTTATAGGGAACTAAATCGGGTAAATCACGTCCCTGATTTGATGCAACGATTACTGGCATTTCTTTCAATCCAAGTGTAATTGCTAAGTTATTGTAAAGAATTACACCTCTTCCTACAAAGTCTAATTTCAGTATCCCATTCGACTCATTTTGTGTGAGACTAAATCCATTAGGCTTAAAAATTTCATCATTGAGTGAGCATACGCTGTAATACCCATCAGGTATAATTATGTGAGTATCAAGAACATTGTAGTCGTTTTCATCTAATATATATATCTCATTATTACCTGTCGCAGCATTTATATTGGTCCACAGCGGGTAATACGTTACATCGCATAGAGCTACTTCGAGTTGTCCATCCGAGTTATCGATAGTATGAAGCAGTTCAATAGACTGACCATTTGTTATTCCCGGGAGTGTAACATACATATTAAATATACAATGATACTATATCATAACTTTAATATGAAATCAACTTACATTACTAATCAATCGATTATAGTAACTGCCTCTGGTGCTGAATTTTTAGTTAAATTCCCCGATATCTTTAAAAATTACAGGGTCACGGCAACTAGCGATAAAATGGTGCACGATTGGTTTCACAATCCAATGCAATTTTGGCAGAATCAGTTAAACTTTGCCGTATGGTGTGCCACAACGGGATGTGGTGTATCTGTTAATGCACCAGGATTTAAACTATATAAGTCTGTTATATTATTTCACGTGTACTATCAGATTAGACGTATACTTAAAGAAATTAGTGCTCCGTTACCGCATGATCAAGCGTGGAATTCCACAAATAATCCGTACAATAGGTCCGCGTATGAGCATATTTGTCAGGAATTTAATGTTTCTACGAGTAAAGATTGGCGTATTAAAGGAGCAAACCATGGTCTAGGTGTTCCTTACACAGAGGAAAAAATAACCATCAAAGAAGAAAGCGATTATGTATATAAAGAACTTAATAAATTTCCAGTTGATTTTCCTAAGTTGTTGCGTACCAGCAAACTTTACTCAAGAATATATGATCATTATAAAAAAAACAGTCATTGGTATAAAGGCTGGGAACTTTATAGTAACGATTGGAGAGGGGATATTATGAGTTTTAAGAGTGGGTCTATTTATATTGTT